CCTCCATCTTCAGGGTAGAAGAAAAAAGAAGAAAATCTTTCACTTGCGGTTTTTCTCCTTTTATTATTCTACCCTGAAGATGGAGGCGATATGTTCCTCCGGAACGTCGGTCAACACAATACCTACACGGCACCACATCCCAGAAGACTGCTCTCTTCACATTCATATAGTTTATTAGGTTATGACACCACACAGTCTGGTAGATGGGTACCAGTGTTTTAGAGGAACGCACTGCCTTCACCTTCAAGATCAGGTATTGTCTACCCTGATGATTCGGGGATCTCAGCTAGGCTACCTGCTACCCTGACTGAGGATTTTCATGCATTTTGTCTATTTCTCAAGGCAAACACTTGAACAATACCTTCACAGTATCCCAATTTTTTTTCTCATCTTGTTCAATAATATATAACATCTGCAACTGAAACAATGATATTGTGACGTGTTGCACTATGGATGACGCCCCTCCCTCCCCGCCAGCCATGACATGCCGAGCGGAGCTGAAGGGAGCCGATTCCCAGCACGCTGGTCTCTATGCAAAGCGAGTAAACACCGGTTGCTAAGCAAAGCGAGTAAACAGCGGTGACGTAACACGGGATGCCACAGTTGCTACGTAGCCATAAACAACTCCCAACAGCGTTGCTAGGCTATCGGCAAACATGGCGTCAGACAACAGTGGTGCCTATTACGTAACTGTTTTCCCGTTGTCCGGCTGAGGGTTTATAAGGGAACTACACAGCCACCGAAGACAGTTCTCAAGGCAGCAGCCTACGAGTTGAGTTGAAATCTAGCCAGCAGTGAGCAGTAAGGAGTGAGTTGAATTCTAGTAGTCACCGATTTCGGTTGTAACAAGTGATTCGTGATAGAGTGAAGAGATTATTACGAATAGGGTTATAAAGTGTGAAACCCTGCAGAGTGAACAGATGATTACAAATAGGGTTATAAAGTGTGAAGCCCCGCAACAGTGTTATAATTAATTGTAGCCGATACTTGTAGGTTCTTAAATAAACCAATTAACAATTTGAACGGCGTCTTCAGTAACAAAGACGTTACAATATTAAATAACCTAGACATACTATAAGATTAGATGAACCACTCAATATAACAGTTTAACCGCTCCCGAAACATGGTGACTTACTGTTTTATTTCGAGTACTGTCTGTAAGCTTAAACAGGAAGAATGACATACGACATGATAGATACATGTTAAAGAACAAATATGCCAGCAGATTCTAAAGGGTTCTGACAATGACACATAACATTAGGAATTACCTGGATTTCTGACTCTGTCCATCGTTCAATATTCTACAAACTACAGAACACAATGTTTCAGAGACTGGGGTTAGCGCTTCCTAAGGTACCCAAGAGAGTAGTGTTTCATCCCTCGCCTGAAGACAGAATCAGATCCACTTTCTGAAACAATGTGTACTCTATAGTTTTTTGGAATGCCAGATGATGGGTGAAGTCCAAAAACCCAATAATTCTGAACAAATATGCTCTTTATTAATCAGATGTAACATGAAATTCAGGCAGGTTTCAGTTGCTGTTTGGAATATCTAGTTCTGATCAGCTTTTAATTTACCTGAAAACGCAATTCTTCTATGAGTCACTTTATCTCCATATGAATCTCCTGTCAACTCACACAACTTCTGGTATACTTTACAGATTCTAGCTTTGTACCTGTTGAACAGTAAATGATAAATTGTTAGTCAAATTTTGAGCTGTATTAATATCACCAAATCTCACCTAGAACAGGTCTAATATCACTGAAAATGATAACAATTATGGAAGAAGACTAGGCTATTCCATGCATTTGGGTAAAATCTGAGAGCCTACATCACTGTGAAGCAAATTTTATTTTGGTCTGCATCGCAGGCCGTGCTATAGCTCAAGTGGTTAGTTGCTGGCTCCCCACTGTGGCAGCCCGGGTTCGGTCAAGTGGGATTTGTGGTGGACAAAGTGGCGCTGGGGTGGGTTTTCACCGAGTACTTCGATTTCCCCTGCCAGTCTTCATTCCACCAAATTCTTCATCATCATAATCACCCGGGGCAGGTACAATAGGCCATTCAGTAGCCGAGAGGCCGAGTGGACACAGCTGGACTCCACACCCCACTAGCGAATTAATTGGTCTGCATCAATTCAATATAGCCCAATTTTACATGAAACTCCAATCCAGCTCTACTAATTTTTTCTGAAAGCAGCTGAAGGTTACAAAATTTGTATACTATACAAACTATAGATCTCATTCTCATCTACAAGTTTACATAAAAGATTTTTTTGAAATGGTGTATATCTAACAAATAAGAAAATAAAATGGAAAAATTATTGTGGCATGTAGACCCATTGCTAAGCAACAATCGCACAATAAGCAACCATACAACAGTTGCTATCAGATAATGTTTCTGAAAACAATGTTTTTGTGGCAACAATTGCACTGCAACAGAGGAACAGTGTTTTCTGTGCAGTCCATGCCGAGACATTTGTTAGTGAGTGAGTGAGTTAGTAGCTGAGACCAAGGACAGTTCAGGAACCTAGAATGTCCTGTTGTGATTTGTGAAGTGTGCAGAAGAGTGACAGCATAATCCTTACTTATAGTTACAAGCTGTAAGAGTCCAATAAATCCAATTCCCAATCCAAAAACTCTATCTACAGTTATATACACATGACATTATTACTGAACATATTGCTCTGCATTATAAAACATCTGGCAGATATTTTTTCTTTGAGAGAGGACAACACGCTGAAGACAAATATAAATAATAAAGTTTTATCTAGTTATTGTCTGTAAATCAATAGCTAGCAGATTCCCAAGCTTCATTTCTTCTACAGTTGACACTGCATGTAAATTTACCTGTTAACACCGCACTGTCTCTAAAACTGTTAAATAACGAAGCTTTTATCAGCTGACAGAAACCGCATGTGTCAACATTACAATAGCAGCACTTGGAAATATGCAGAAGGGATACTATTACAGTACGACATATCAATGGAAAGGTTAAACTGTTGAAGCCTTCCTTTCTGAGCTCAGTGGGGGTGAAAACATCACATTTTAAAACAGACGCTGTGGTTCTCAGAGTTTGTGAATAACTAAATCCAGAGGCACTAGAACTGTCTTAGATCAATAACTGTGGTGAATGAACCTGGTATAAAGAAACTTCAGACTTTGCTACCATCACCACAATACTTCATCCACTTACATTTCACACTTCACTTATTAAAAAAAATTATGGGAAATCAAAAATGGCATTATGAACTAAATAATTTGCATTACAGTTAGTACGGTTTGCAAGCATGGCTTGAACTTTGAATAACAACCATCTAGGAAACATGCTCTAAGACTGTCATATCAACATGCATTTAAGGGTGCAATATCATTTACACAATAACATTCCTGTAAGCCAATGATATCCCCTGAGATTCTGTGAGAAAAGTGTGCATAATGAGAACCAGTAAGTAATTAGTGAAAAATAGCTTCTGGAGAGAGCTCCCCCCTGTCATCCATCCTTTTTATATGATGATAGCTGTAGACAATACCTCTCAAGTCTGATGTATGCAGAATCATTATCTTCATCAAAAACAACCTCCTTTTCCTCCAGCTTTGCAATACGGTTTTGCAATTGCTACAGGGGGAAAAAATACAATAATTTATGCACAAATGTATTAATAAACAACAGAAACTTATTTAGCATATAATGTCACTGCATGTTAAATTTACAAGAAATGTAGTCATGAGTTTGAGGTGCATTCCAAATTAGTATGTTATTACTGCACATGATTTACATCTTTCTGTTCAGAATCCAAATAGCAATTCATCTAACACAAGCTCTAGTTTTTGGAGCAGTGAACAAGAAAATATTGAGGGGCACACTTTATTCAATAGAAGATTGCAGTTTCCAATGCACAGTGAGTCTGTTTTTGAGCACTGGCTCTGGTGGAAGAGTTGCAGGCTCTTCCTAACAGATCAGGCTGACACACAATGACTTTTGACTGTGCTGTTTAGAAAACTTGCTGTACTTCAAAACAATATCTCATTCAACATATTAGTATTTAAATTGCCATAATTCTCAAGGGAGAATTTATAGGAAATACGTATAAGAGTTCTTAGCCCCTTCCTTTATGATGTGGGCTTTGTGTGTGGGATAAAAATCGTGTTGCACATGAAGTTGCAAGATGCCAGCTCTGGTCGAATTATTGCAACTGTTGGGAGAATCACATCTCTGCAGTACTATACGATTATCTGAGACAGAATGATATCATCTCAGTTCCAGAACTTTTGCACCTGATTATGCTGGAAGAATTTCACAGCGTATACTTGCGTTCCAGGATTATGAAACCGTTTCAAACCTCACTTCATGTCTTACACAAGGAAAGGCATATAGCATAACAAAATTAACAGCATTCTACCAATTGGCAATGGAAACTGAATTTTCTATATTGTCATTGTACAGGAAATGTTTTCAAGATGAATGTTGTGCATAGACATCCAGCACATGGTCTCTTCTTCACTTAACTTTCTGCCAGTCCTTAAATTACAGCAAAAATTGACTTAACAAGTTTCCCTTTCTTAAACAATAAACATTATATTTCTGAAGAATAAAATACACAAATTTTTTATTAAAAATCCTTAGGAACATAAGCTAATTTAAATGTCCAACTGTTTCAACACTCCACTCTAAGATACTGCACAACATGCAACAGACTCGTATGAGAATTAGTGAAATGAACAAACAAAACAAACTCCATGGTTTTAAATTGAATTGTTTCATTTTAGTCCGTTACACTATCAATCACAAAGTTAATAGAGTCCGTACACAGCACACAGGAACATATCAAACCATAAGCCATACAACCTCAAGCTGACGTCTCCCATCTTCGGGATGAATTAACAAGGAGGAGTTCAGCATTTTATATCAAATATTTTAACATTTTAGCGTTTTAACTTAAAAAAAATAGGTTCGGATGAAAAGTGAGAACTTGAGAGTGTACTCAACTATCTTAGCATGTTTTGTGCTTTTACACGTCAACATATCGTAGCAGCATCCACACGACAAACATAATTGTGAACATCAAAAAACAGCGACAGTGTTTCCATAATTATAGCAAGTGCCTCTGATGATGGTTGTGTCAAACCGAAACATGTAAGGCAGAAATAATAATAAAAAGTGACCTACAAATTGTTACACTCGATGGACTCTCTATTAACTTTGTCCATGGTTTTAGTCTGCAAGCAAATTATACCAAAAGACCAAGCGACCACCACTTGTCAGCGAAGTTAGTACTGAATGAAGGGGAAAATCTGTATACTTAGAAAGCTGCCCACAGTCACTCTGCCCACAACAACTCTCAACAGATATTGCCACGATTGAACTTGAGTTTCAGTTATTAGAAACCAGTGTTCAACCCCCTCAGCTGTAGCAGACACAACTGCTAACTCCTTTCAAGTATATCTGATGGAACTACTCATTCTGTTTACACTCTAGATCAATGAATGTGAACAGCTGCTAAGCATGGAACATGATTTTGGTTGGCACTATACTGAGGATAAAAGAAATGAAAGATTCCCCTAATAATGTAAGTTTACAAACTCTTTTCTTTAAATATAATATGTTCCATGAGATGGGAAGAGTTTTATCATTCCAGGGTAAACAAACTGAAAGTATGGCTAAGACACTTGAGATATTTCCATACACTAGCAGTGCTGGATTTGAAATTCTCCTTGCAGTGACTATGAAGAGTATGGTTTCAAAGCCATGTAGTTCAAAGAGAGCCTGATGTTTCAGAGGAACATATTGTCTCCATCTTCAGGGCCAAAAAGTAAGCCAAGCAAGAAACATGAAGCAGGTGGCACGCTAAGCTAAAATGGCATTACAACCCAAAAACTGTACTCTTCATTGGTGAATCAATCTATTTATAAACTGTCTGTACAAGAGTCCCTTGTCAACCACAGTTTTTAGTATTCATAGTTGAAAGATTCTATACTGTTCATCAATTACAATGTCATGGGATACCATCCCCCAACCTGCCTCTTGATTATGTAGGATCACTGGGAATCCAAGATTGTAAACTTCGTCTCTTTGACCATCACTCCTTATAATATTGTCATGTTTTAGGGGTGTGACTATAGACAGGTTATGGACTGGTGAACGGACATACTGACCACTCGTATATATCACTCGGAACTACAAGTAATTACAGCGTTATCGCTAACCTCCACTCTTTACAAATCACCACAGCATCTGCTAAGCCTTTTTTCAGCCTGCTGTATCTTCAACAGCTGCTCCCTACCAATGGCTTCTGACAAAGGAGATTCTTCAGCTTCTGGTGCTCATGTTGAATGAATGAATATTTAAGGGGTGGGCCTTCTTGGCCCTTGAACTGCAACCTACAGTGATCTATTGTGCTTCTCCTTTTGATTAACCCCTCAGCAATCCTGCGCTTTAAATGAAGCGCAGAATGTTGTATGTGGGGGCGTCAAAATAGTCACTTGGTTCCATAAAGTACTGACCCAAGTGACGTAATCTTAAATAAGCTAAGGCCTCACATTCACACAGGATATGTGTGGCTGTTTCATTTCCTTCTTGACACCTCTTGCAAGTGGGAATATTACTTAGCCCCAGTTTGAAGAGGTGTCCTTTAAGGTGACAGTGTCCTGTAAGTAGTCCCACCACCCATCGTAGCTGCTTCCTGTTTAACTTCAACAGTTCCTTCGCTCTTTTAGCAGAGGGTCCTAGTATGAGTCCCTTTGCTTGCCTGAGTCCAGTCAAGGATCTCCAGTATTTCTTGTGCTTCATATTTGTCCAGTCCCTGATTGCCTTTCCGGTAACTCCTATAGAGATGCCACAGGCTGGTTCAGGTTGGTGCTCATGTTACTGTCTGGCAAATATCCCACAACTGAACTCTTGTCAACTGTCAACTCAACTATAGTACCATGTCATGTATAGCACTTTATACATTTACATAAGCATGTATTTTAAGTATAATATACACACATTTAGCCTCAAAGTTTATACTATGAGATATTTAGCACAATTTAATCCTGCCACTGCTTAGTAATCAGTGCCCAGTCATACACCCAAGCTGACTTTTTAATTTTCCATAAATATGAAAATTAAAAGAAATTCAGTAGAAATCCAATTTACACATATTACAGCTTGGAGGTGTTGTGCTATTTTAAGAGATATAATATATACACTACGAGAAATACTGATTTATACGAGTATAATACTACGAGGAAAGGTGATCTTCATGTACAACAATGTAACACATCAGTTTTTAAGAAAACTGTTATTAATGTGGGCATTAAATTATATAATATACTTCCTTTGGAAGTTAAAAAGTCAAAGGGATGTAATGAATTTAAACATAAATTAAAATTATTTTTATTTGATCATCCTTTCTATACACTGAATGAGTTTCTTCAACAGGGACATGAGGAAGCATAGAAGAAAAGGGAATTGTAGTAGTTATTGTTATATTTTTAAAATTCTTAGTGATGTTGTAAGGCAAGTACAGTTTTATTTTTAGTCTAATACATTCTAGGATTATAGAGCTTTTAACAATGATGTACTTAGTGAGTTGACTTGTTCAAGTGTTGCAGTTGTAACAGTATGAATGCAAATAAATATGAATATGAATATGTTGTATTATGAAGATGGTTTGGTAATACTAAGGAGTGTCATTATTACTATTCCTATGGTAGCCAACATCAGGTGACAAAGCAGGATAACACCACAGCTGGATATAACAATTTATAAATTCTTCTACTTACAGCATATACAACCAGCAGGGAGGTTTGACCTCAACACTTTCATGACAGGTGGAAGTATACACCCAGGAAGTTCAAATTCATTCAGGAATTTAGTTTGGGAAACATGTTTCTAAAGCCATGTCAATAAACCTATAGGAGCAGCAATGACACCATTTTTCAAGTACCGATAACATGATGAGCTCGGCAGCATACAGCTTAAATCATCATTCCCCCAAGCTCTCAAGACCTTTGCCCTTGCTAACTATGGCTATACCAAGTGGAGCTACGTTACACATTACATAACACCTGCGGCTGGCAAGAAACTACACACATATACAACGAATCAACTATTGAAGTTATTCATTATCCACCAGTACACACAATGACTTACCTCCATTGCTTTCGAGAGTTTCTTAATCCTTCTGGCTTTATATCTCGATTCTGCAGCATTCACTAGCGCAGAAATTTCATCCTTTCGTGCTTTATCTTCATCCTCTTCTTCTGCATGACTACACCCTGGTTCTACCACATCTGAATTATTAGGAACATGAAATGATCCATTGCAAGTTTTCTGTCTTTTACTAGGTGCTTCACAGTTCTTCAATCTTCGAACTTTAATTTCATCAACAACGTCCTTTATATATACATATATACTACAAGGTCTTTTCTTTATATCACTCATCTTACATCTCACTAAGTTCTCGAATTCTTGTGATGAGGTATAATCGGGCTTAGCCTTAATGTAATAACTATGTGCTTTATGGAGAATTTTTTCCATTTCAGGGCTTTCATTATTCTGCCGACAAAGTTTCAGGAACTGCAACAAAACTCTGATTAGGAATTTTATATTATATTATTCAGGTGACACTCTTACAATCTCACAAAAGTGAATAATATAAGGATTACGATCTTCTGTGTAATCTGATACACAGGAACAAACTACATGGCAACACATTCCAGAAAACCATATCTTTATATTACTCATACCTTACATACAGAACATTTCTAAAAATAATATTTGGTCAGTCAAACAGCACTGGAAACTAAAAGTTTTATCTTTTCAACAATGAGGATGAGCCCATTGTACTCGTAAATTTTCTTTCAACAATTTAATAACTTCAAAAAACTGCGATAATAAGGAATGTAACATCATTCCTGAGCTTAATAAAGAATTAAAACATGAAGATGGGGTCACGCAGTAGCGTAGTTGGTTAAGGCACTATGCTACAAGCTGGTAGGTCACGGGTTTGAGTCCTGATGACGTGGATTTTTCAATTTACCTAATCCTTCCAGCTGCACTGTGGTCAACTCAGCCTCTAACACAAATGAGTACCAGGAATCTTCCGGGGGGGGGATAAGGGTGGCCGGTGCTTAAGACTGACAATCTTAGCGCCATCCGTGAGCCAACTGTCTAGAGAAAATGTGGGAGCCTCGACATCTCACAACCGTATGGACCTCTATGGTCTGTTACAGGGATAACTTTACCTTTTTACCTTACCACAACATGAAGATATAGGGGAGGGTGAAAGTATAGCTCCAAAATTTCTTAACCTGATACTGATGAAGATGAGTGGTCAATTTTACCAAATATGACATACAACTATGAATACAAACAATTCTATAGGGATGTGTGTGTATGCACAAATGTTCACACTTCATTATTATTTATAACATCAATATTTGCAAACATCAATCTAACCGTTATTTTCTCCCACACATTTTAAACAAATCTTATTTTAGGCCACAGCTGTATACAACTTAGTCACTGCCACATTCTTCTATGGGCCAGATATCCTTGAATGTAATCTTGAGATATTTTATCACATTCCTCACTTCAAGTAATCTGTTGAAATACTTTATCACTTCTCCACTTCAAACAATCTTATCCTATCAGCTTCTTTTATTCTCCTTAAAACATACAAAAGTCAGAACTAGGCATAAATCTAGAGAACACTAATGAATTAACTAAGTGCAGCACAAGACATAAACTTCTTCAAAAGTTGATAGTCATCCAGAGGGCCAAGGAATTTACACTTTTCATCAAATGCAAGGATTCATTATTGTGCTCACGAGAGCCTACTGGATCCCACCATTAGGCACTTGAATCCAGTCGCCATTTTTATATAGATGCCATCTATGCTTAAGTATTCTCCTCCCCCATGCTTTCCAAACAAAATTTTGTATTCATTTCTTATCATCCTCATATGTGATATACGTGATATGTCTATACAATATCGCCCTCCTTGAATTAATCACCAATAATACTGGGTGAAGAATACAAATTATGGATAGACTTGAAAGGATTCTGACGATGGTGTACACTGTACTTCTTTTGGACTTCATCCATTGTCTGGTATGTAAAAGACAAAAGACCACGACATTTCGAAGACTGGATCTGTCTCTGTCTTCAGGTGGGTAGGGAAGGATAAACCTACTCAGTTGGTCCAATTAGAAAGAGCTAATCTCAATCACTGGTCCAGTGATTGAGACTAGCTCTTTCACAGTTCAATTGTATAAACATTCAGATATCATAGATGGTATAGGTAATAGGTTCCTTATGCATAAATATTAAATGTATATGAATAGATTCAAAATGTTTCAAAATTAGTGTAAAATCACCTCGTCAAATATAATTTGACTTCTGTGTTCTTCATTCTTATTTGGCATAAGTTTAAGGTTTTGTGTAAAGAATTTGAATTTATCTTCCTTTTCCACCTTATGTTCTCTGGCTATACATAAAGGCTGAATCTGAAAAAAACAACATTTTAAAAATATGTGAGGTAATTGAAAATTACACTGAACTAAACACATATGAACTACAATATAATCCTTTCCCAAGTTTTAACACATTACCCATACATATACCTTACTAACAGAATGCACAATTTAGGGTGAAGAAAACTGCATCATTATGAGGAATATTCTTCAACAAATAATGCTAGAGTGATCAATCAAGCATGATACAGCCAGGAAACATGCCCCACATGAAAGAGATGACAAAAACTACATATAAAATTTGGAAGAATTCTGTTTTCTGGGATACAACGCCATGTAGTCACTGAAAGTCAACTGATGTTTTGGATGAACATGTCACCTTCATCTTTAGGGCTGAAGAGTATGCATGACAAGAAACCAGCACGAAGCAGGCAAAAGCTGCTTGCCTCATGGTAGTTCCTCACGTTGCTTACTCTTCAACCGTGGTGATGTAGGTAATAAGATTCCCAAAAACACCAGATGGCTTCCAATGGAATATATGGCAATATATCCCAGAAAACATAACCTCAAATCCTACATTAAATTTTTGTCATTAAATCTTAAGGTAAGAAATCTCTTGGAGAGTCTAGGCATAGAAGGAAGGAAAATTTTAAAATGCATCATATAGTAACAGGGCGTGATGATATGAATTGCATTAATCTTAACTTGCAAATATTGTAACCAGCCTTCAGATTTCACAAAATACAGGATATTTCTTGAATAGACTCTGTGGCCTTTAGTCTGCAAGAGAACTATACCGACTGCTGCTTGTCGGCAAAGTTAGTGCCAACTTTTGTGGACAGACGCTGTGGCGTGATCAGCGTAACGGATTCCCATGGCTGTTAATCTCTGTTTTCTAGTCTGGAACCGCTACTTTTCCATTCAAGTAGCTCAATTAACCTCACGAGGTTGAGTGGACCCTGTTCCAGACCCGCTACTACACAGAAAATCTGGTAACGCCGGGAATCGAACCCGGGACCTCTGGATCTGTACCCAGGAATTCTGACTACTAGGCCACAGATGCAGTTTGCTTGACTAGATGAGTGACTGTTGGTTTCCCATGAACGACTGCTCCATGCAGTTGGGATTGCTCATCAACATACTTAAAAAGAATATTTTATTATTACTGAATTTACATAACTGTGCTAGAGACTCAGAACTTGTGTTATGCATCAAATAGGACACGACAGTTGTATGGAAAAATTAAAAAAAAAAAATATATTACATAATATGACTTATTGTGGTACTAAAAATGAAGTGGCAAGTTGTTGTAAAAGGAGAGAGAAGGAGACAGGGGAAGAACAGTGGAATGACAAAAGAGTAGAAATGGCTTTGTGAAATGACAGCCCAAAAAAGTGAAAACACCCATGGATCATGATAAATCCTTTCCATATATTTCATCATCACCACCAAAACCATCGCTACTGCCACTGTCTTCATGATCACTGTCATCACTGTCACTGTCATTTTCACCTTCATGCTCCTTAGCCTTCCTAGCATTAAGTCTTCCACCATCTTATATGTAGCAGAAAACAAAACCATACTTCAAATATCTTATTACTAAATATATTCTAATGAGATTATGTTTTAAATCATCACCACCATCATCATTAGCATTACCAAACAGACAAAATTTATTTTTCTTGACGCCAGCAGAGCTCAGTCTTCAGTATGTTCCAATCTTTTCTAAACAATATACAAAATCTAAAACTGTTGAAACTTCTAATCTGCTGTTTCAAATACCTCATTTTAGCTAACCAATATTAACTCCATATTATAGGGTCTTTCCTCAGGAGCTCATAATTATTAAACTGATCACGATATTCCTCCAATTTTGTGAAACACAATTATTCAGCACCATATTCATAAAACACAGGTACTGCACTCAATCCTGACATAGTTCAATCAATTTTTATTAATAGCCTCCTAAGTGGTTCCTTCTAGTGAGAATCATGCCTTGATTTTCAAGAACTTCACAAATAAAAATTAATTTATCATACAACTGGGCTTCCACAGGTTAATCACACCAACTTGAACAACAAAACTGACACTTAATTCTTTGCTTACCCTCTTATTTGGTTCATTAATACAATAAGTATCATCTTCCGCTGTCCATCTCTTTTCTGGCTTAACTTGTAACTGCAGTGGCATTTCTGTAACCTGCTTCAAAGGATACTTATCCTGAAAAATCATCAATAGGTACTTAGCATCATACAAGCTGGTATCATAAAGTAAAAGTAAAGCTGTCCCTGTAACAGGCCATGATGACCCATAGGGTTGTGAGACGTCGAGGGTCCCACATTATCTAGACAATCGGCTCAAAGATGGCAGTAAGGTTGTCAGCCTTACGCGCCGGCTGCACTTTACTTGCCAGGAAAATTACTTAATTAATTCCTGGTACTCATTTCTGTTAGAGGCTGAGTCGACCCCAGGGCCATAGTGTGGCTGGAAGGATTAGGTCAATTGAAAAAAATCCAATGAACTCATTGGGACTTGAACCCGCGACCTTCCAGCTTGTAGTATAGTGCCTCAACCAACTACGCTGTGTGCCCCCAAGCTGGTACCGTATCATCTGTAAAACTTGTCAGACTGTAATTAGACATTCTTGCTTTCTAGTATAACAGTACACTATTCATAAGAATTTGTGCTGAATTATGAAATTCAGTAAAATCTCTAAACATCCCAGAGGATGCAACTGTGTATCTTGTATATAAATAAAAGATAGGGCATTGCTTTAAAACATGGTGTCCAGTTATCTTACACAATTTTATTTATTTTGGGCTGGTAACCGTGAAACTTAAACGCCAGGTATGTGTGCTTCATGTCAGAATACCTGTAAGTGCACATCTGTTCTAATATGCGTACAGGAACATAACACCTGGAACGGTTAATTGGATATTTTACTGAGGGTTGTAACGGCTTCTATTTAAAATTCATGCAATTGATGGGCTACTTCTAGAATTGCATATTTACAACCCGGAAACGAATTATCTGATTGGCAAACTTTGTAACTATTGTAATTTTAATCTACTTATATATCAAATTGTTAATATTCAGAATTAACTTGACTTGTCATATATCATGTACAATGATCTACAGTGACGAAATAAATCAATCAATCAATGTAAATGGGAGGGGAGGAGAAAAATGGTCCGAAATTCAAATTTCGAACAGTGCGTAAATAGTTCAATGTTTTGAATACGATTAACGTGGTGGCGTACCCTGGTCTTTCTTGAAACAGTAAATTTGATTATTACATTTTACCTTAAATATTGAAGTGTTTTCATCATCCGAAGACAATGTGATTACATCGCAGTTATTCATCTTCTGCTATTACAGTAACACATATAGATGCGAACGCCTTTATTTTTAAATAATCAGTAATGTTCTCTCCCACCTTCTCGCCACATACAACAGCAATGCCAACTTCTGATGTTCGTTCAAGAATTGCCAAAAGTAACTATTTACGAGCCCATTGGGAACATGATAATGACGTCTTCATAGCAGGTCTAAATCATCAATTTTCTCCAAATAGAAACTAATTCAACGCGCAGGAGCCTCCACAAATATATATACCTTATATTTCAGTGCGCGTCTATTAGAAATCAATTTGTCTTAAGGAAGTATTTATAACATGAAACGCAGCAGAGCCAAAAATACGTCACACTGCCGATTGCCCATTATCGTCCACGAACACATTTCGCTTATTCGCATTTATGAACAGTTATTTCACAGCCTGCTAGATGAAGTGCACTTTAATGCTCTTGGCAGGTACGGATGTGAGAAAACCAAATGTATTGTTTCTGTACGAAATATTCAAATATAATAATAGGTTAAGGTAGTTTAAATTAATGCATATCTTAAAGCATGCCGTTAAAAGGTAATCTCACTTTTCCATCTGTATAAAAATTAGACTTGCAGCTAGCCTGCTTCGAAAATTTTATACACAGAGAAAATACGTAGAATATTTTGGTAATTGGTAAGGCATAAGAGTGAAACTTCTAACAGCCTGTGAATTGTCATTTAACTCTTTGACTGGCGCGAAGGGTATTTAAATCCCACCCCTTTCCTGGCAGGCCCTTTAAACCTTATGTCTCTAAAATGCATGTAGTTACTTTTTCCTAAACAACTTCAACAAAAATTGGTTTTTAAAAACGAAATTTTTAGGAACTAATTAAAATACAATATTTTATGCAATATTAGTTTTTCTTCGTGTGATAAACATTGAAACATGAAAGTTTGCAGAGAGCCACACCGCAGCCTGCACACATGATACTTGTTTCTTTTCTAACCTTGTGCTTAGCACTCACGCGACACTTTCTCAGGGCACCATTCTTCTTATTTTTACTGTTAGGACATGGACCATTTTGTGAATTTTCAAGCCACCCTCTAGACGATTTGCTGGCTCTTTCACTGATGGTTTTTTCAAGGTCGAGGGCGGAGGCGTGACTGCACTCTAGTCTGACCCAATAGATTCGTCATCCACTTCATTCCTTGACTTTTCTCCCTCTCCACACTGTTTGTTTGGTTCAGTCATTTTTCTACACAGTCCAATATAAAATCTTTGAATCTGTAATCTCTCTTCTTGTATTTTTCGTTTGTTGTGTTCTTTTTGAATAGAATGAAACTATTCAACCGCAAAGACATGTTTTGTCCAAACCATGGGTGTGAAATAGGGGCCTAGTGGACAAATATTCTTCAATTTCAGGGCGTTTGTCGATTCCTGTCATGAACACAATTCCTAAGTATGTCCAGATTTCATCTGATGTGACATAATTGTAATTGTGTTTTCGAGAGTGAGGAGCTAACTCATGTGTGTTGAAGTGCTGGTGAGCATAGCGATTGGTTTCAGTTGTGATGTGATTTACCAAGTCGTCATCCAGAAAAAAATTTAATCCATGAAAAGGGATGCATTTTATGTGTTATATCAATTTTGATCCCGAAACTATTAGCAAATGGAAGTATTGGGGGTACAATGTCTCCGTACGTTCATGAGATGGGCGTGTCAGGCACCGCACTCGTGGTAGGTAAATGTTCATGATTACTGTCTTGTGGATCATTGTCTATCACTGTATTATTGTCACTATCAACTTCATCCAATTCAGGAATTATTATTTCATCGCCACTATCATCATCAGAAAAAATCTCGTTCACAACATTTTCCAGCTGGTCTGTAGGAACACGAAGACACTTGCTGCAAGAAGCCATGGTGAAACTGAATGAATGTGAAATATTTTCTGACCTTTACCTTCTCAGAGGGTTCTGACAGTAATATAGACCCCCACAAAGTTTACAAGGGTTCTTTACAAACATGCACAAAAACTATCATATATATGTCTTTGGTTGATGAGTGCCAAGAGAGCAAAGAAGGGAAGAGATTGTCAAAGCGTTAAAACACGCCAACGCCAGGGAACGGCTGGCATCGTCCGGGCGTTAAAACACGCCCGCGCCAGTCAAAGAGTTAAGATATCTAAGATTGTAAAACAATTTCACGCCCTGGCGGTCATATATAGGTTTTTTTTTTTAATTTTGAAAAATAATATGTGTGTATATACAAAAATAGCCCAGGCAATGCCCATCCTGGTTTCTTTAGCAAATTCATATGAACATCTTATCCTGGCCCAGCGGTCACCCCGCGATTTTTGAATGTCTCTGAACTTAATTCTAAGAATATACTATTAATATTTTGTACATGTACTTCTTTTTCTTTTTTAATCAATTTAGGAATTTTGTTTATGGAGTAACAGACGCCTTGAACAGATCTCTCTTCTTCTAGCCTTAAGAGCTCTGTAACTGATTGGGTATTCAGTTTTGCTGTTCTCAGAAAAATGCCCATCATTGTTGCCCTTTGGTCCATATACAGTTTACAGTCCCAGAATATATATTCCTCCATTTGCAGCCCATCACCACCATATACTTAGTTTTCTATGTGTTTACTTCTAGACCAACCTCCTTACTAGCATCAATTAAAGGTTGTTTCTCTCTTTATAGTATCTATATTATCACCCGGTATATTCACATCATCAGCACAGACCAGCAGCTGATGTGTCCCATTTAATTTCAGTCCCACCTGGTTTTCCTGGACCTTTCTAATGGCATATTCTAAACCAAAGTTGAAAAAGAGTGCAATAAAGTATCTCCTTGTCTTAGACAGGTCTCTATACAGGCCTCTAATATTCTTGTTCTTACTATGTGTTGCAAGCTCAATCATTTTGTCTTTCAGATATTTCCTCTTTTTATTCCTGAAATGCCTGTTGGCTTCATGTCTTATACTGAGTACTGTTCAGGTTATCCCCATTTATTTCGCTTGGAAACTGTAACCACTGCAATTTGGCTTATTTCCTTTCTTCTAATAATTCTGAGCATCCTTCATTGAACCATGACTTATGCTTCTTAAATTCATAATAACCTAGCCTATCTTTGGCTGAAATTTTGATATTCTGTCTAATCCTTTCCCATGCTCTATTAATATCCACCTCAGTGTCTAAGATTTCCAGAGCTGCAAACCTATTTAAAATTTCAACACAATACTGGTCTTTACCCTCCACCTTTTTAATTTCTTGAGATTGAACCTCTCCATATTACCTATGTGCTTTGTTCATTTACTCAGTGGCAGTTTCTCCCTAACTTCTGTCACCACCAGACAGTGGTCAGTAACACAATCTGCCGCCCTCAACGATTGGACATCAAATATATTTTAATGTTGTCCCTTGTCTGTCAAATTATGGTCAATTTGGTTTTGCGTCTTTCCATCAGGAGATGTCCAATTAAATTTATGAATGTTACAATGTGGGAACAGCGTATTTTTGACAATAAGATTTCTGGATGTGGCAACGTTTACTGCTCTAACTCCATTATTGTTACTAATTTCGTGCAAACTCTCATTCCCATTTGTTGGTTTGAAAATGTCTTCCCTATCTACTTTAGCATTAAAATCTCCTAACAAGATTTTCATATGGCACTTCGTAAATTTATCAAATACATGATCCAGTTCTTTGAAGAATGTGTCCGTCATATCATAAATTTTATTCTCTGTTGGGGTATGAACATTCAGAACGATAATATTGCACCAGTAACCTCTTAGTATAAGCACAATAGACCACTGTAGGTTGCGGTGCAAGGGCCAAGAAGGCCTACCCCTCATACATTCATTCATTCAACCTCTTTAGTATTATGTATGACATCCTCTCACCAACAAATTCTACCCTCTTAACTGCTGATATGATTCCCTTATGTATGAAAAAACCTGTACCTAATTCATGATTTTCATTCCTCTTTCCATAGAAAGATATATATTCACTTGCTGGTTTGGTGCCACCTCTGTACCATCTGACCTCCTGTACTCCCACTATATCTAAGTTATATTTTGATATTTCTTTAGGCACTGTACTGAGTGAACATGCCCTATACATACTTCAAAACACTCCAAGTACCAAATCTCTGTCCATTTTATTTTGCTAAGGTCGTTTATCCAAATAATCTGTCCAGGTCTGAGGCTTCTTGTGATCTTTTGTAACAGGCTAATTTTTTATGGTGAGGAGTTGTTAGCCCCATGTCCAACACACAACCTGGAGGACCACTCCTTATCAGCTGTCTTAAACTGTTTATTCAATGTATTCGCAGCCACCCTGCATATCTGGAGGCCATCTCCTCAATCTGCAACCTGAGGACATGCCATGCTGTGGTGACAATGGACCCGCTTAACATGTCTCCTAATCTGCTGTCTAAAAATGTAAAAAATTAGAATATACAGAACTATAATTGTCTGTTGTTCTGTGTGGGTGTGAAACTTGGCCCCTAACATTAACAGAGGCACATACACTGAGGGTGTTTGAGAACAGGATGCTGAGGAGAATATTTGAACTGAAGATGATCAGGTGACAGGAAGGTGGAGAAAACTACATAATGAGGAGCTTCATATAATGTACTCTTTGCCAAGTATAATTAGAATGATCAAGTCAAGGAGGATGAGATGGGCAGGCATGTAGTCCGAATGTGGATGGTGTGAAAGCCAGAAGGAAAGAGACCACTAGGTAGACCAAGCTGAAGGTGGGTGGATAATATTAAAATGGGTCTTGGAGAGATATAATGGAATAGTATGGACTGGATTGATCTGGCTCAGGATAGGAACGAGTAGAGGGTTCTTGTGAACACAATAATAACTCTTAAGGTTCAATAAAATATTAGAAAATTCTTGAGTGACTGCAGAGATGGGCAGGCATGTAGTCCGAATGTGGATGGTGTGAAAGCCAGAAGGAAAGAGACCACTAGGTAGACCAAGCTGAAGGTGGGTGGATAATATTAAAATGGGTCTTGGAGAGATATAATGGAATAGTATGGACTGGATTGATCTGGCTCAGGATAGGAATGAGTAGAGGGTTCTTGTGAACACAATAATAACTCTTAAGGTTCAATAAAATATTAGAAAATTCTTGAGTGACTGCAGAGATGGGCAGGCATGTAGTCCGAATGTGGATGGTGTGAAAGCCAGAAGGAAAGAGACCACTAGGTAGACCAAGCTGAAGGTGGGTGGATAATATTAAAATGGGTCTTGGAGAGATATAATGGAATAGTATGGACTGGATTGATCTGGCTCAGGATAGGAATGAGTAGAGGGTTCTTGTGAACACAATAATAACTCTTAAGGTTCAATAAAATATTAGAAAATTCTTGAGTGACTGCAGAGATGGGCAGGCATGTAGTCCGAATGTGGATGGTGTGAAAGCCAGAAGGAAAGAGACCACTAGGTAGACCAAGCTGAAGGTGGGTGGATAATATTAAAATGGGTCTTGGAGAGATATAATGGAATAGTATGGACTGGATTGATCTGGCTCAGGATAGGAATGAGTAGAGGGTTCTTGTGAACACAATAATAACTCTTAAGGTTCAATAAAATATTAGAAAATTCTTGAGTGACTGCAGAGATGGGCAGGCATGTAGTCCGAATGTGGATGGTGTGAAAGCCAGAAGGAAAGAGACCACTAGGTAGACCAAGCTGAAGGTGGGTGGATAATATTAAAATGGGTCTTGGAGAGATATAATGGAATAGTATGGACTGGATTGATCTGGCTCAGGATAGGAATGAGTAGAGGGTTCTTGTGAACACAATAATAACTCTTAAGGTTCAATAAAATATTAGAAAATTCTTGAGTGACTGCAGAGATGGGCAGGCATGTAGTCCGAATGTGGATGGTGTGAAAGCCAGAAGGAAAGAGACCACTAGGTAGACCAAGCTGAAGGTGGGTGGATAATATTAAAATGGGTCTTGGAGAGATATAATGGAATAGTATGGACTGGATTGATCTGGCTCAGGATAGGAACGAGTAGAGGGTTCTTGTGAACACAATAATAACTCTTAAGGTTAAATAAAATATTAGAAAATTCTTGAGTGACTGCAAAACTGGCAGTTATGCTCAGCTCTATGGTGTTAGTTAGTTAGTTGGTTAGTTAATTAGGTTAGATGAATGATGTCTATCAGAAAACTTCAATACAGATTCACCTATGACACTGAATCACAAAATTTTAATATTGGTCTTATGGGAAGTGAAATCTCAAATGACCTTTGTACTGCTATTATCAATAACACCAGCTTAGTAGCTAAGGCAGAATGTTTTGTAGAATTCAATGCAGAACATCAGTAGGAAAAAAATATGTATTTACTCTTTGTTATTGTAGTGACAACTGATGAACCATCTGATCTAGGAGACATCGTGAACAGAGTATACAAATTCTAAATAAAAGATTGTTTACATGATAGCTATTACAGATATGCCACAGATGTGAGATTTGAAGCAATTGGTGGAATGCGAATTGGCAGGTAGAATCAAAGTTCTCCGATAAAACCTGCCCCATTGCCACTTTGTCCACTACAAATCCCATATGACCTCACCTGGGCTCAAACCTGGGTCGCCACAGTGCGAAGCCAGTAGCTGACTGCCTGAGCTATGGCATGACCTTAACTTTGAGGTTTATATCTGGCAATTTTATCATGACCGGAACCTGTTCAAGTGGAAATTGTGTGCAGAAATGAATCACTAAATACAACCATTTTTTGCTGGACTCACCATATAAACTGGAACATTATAAGGAAAGTGTGCATTATAGGGTCTGATCAGAATTTCCACTTAAATGACAGATATTTCATTGTAGCCCACTTACAAAAAATAATTGCCAGCCTCTGGCCTGAATGGACTAGGGAAATTGTCTGTTAGAGGATAGGCAGTCTTCTTTCCAAGTTTCAATATGAATGTTTGAAAAGACCTTCCTTTCAGAAGTGTTATGATGGTTGTTTTCAACAGCTGTGCTACTTACCCTTCTGAATGGTACTGGAGATGATGTCAAATTGTTACCTTGAGAAGCCACCCTGAAAAACATTTCAGTTATCAACAAATTGCCTCTCACTGAGACTGAGATCATTTACAGAATTTATCAAAGACAACACAAGTATGTCAAAACTGCCATGATTTCCTGCTCAGCATTCCTAAACAAGATCTGTATAGACTGAACATGTCCAAACTCTTGATATTGTTCTCTACCTGGGAACAGTAACTGATTTTAACTATCAGTAGCTGGCAGCAATGACACATGCTGAATGCCACACATGGAGAGATGAGATATTTGAATCTGCTGATATGCTTAATAAAATAAATTGTCTGTTGTGTAGATTTTCAGAAAGACCGCTTGAGAAAATACGAGTACTTGCCAAAATTTGAGTCTAAGTACGGTATATATGAACTGGCTCAGGATATGATTGTGATGTGCTTGTTTGAATACAGTAATGAATATTCATGTTCTGTAAAATCAGAGAATTTGTTTATCAGTCCAGTTAGTCTACCTATGTAATACTTGTTTGCAATCATGTGATTAGTTTAGTGCAACTATTGTGTCTCAGACATGTATATAACTTCTGTAGTTCAAACAATGCCTTCAAATAAATTACAAATCAATGAATCATTACTTCAGCATGTGTTCTGCCCTGTAAATTTAAGGGTGTGGATTGATTACTTGATGGGTACCATGGGCTGTTTCAATTGAGGGTAAAGTGATGGGAGTGGGAAGCTGACCAATCATCTCCATCTTGTACCAAGAAAAGAATGTATGGACCTCTAAGGCAGAGCCTTCATGGCATGGTGCTTAAACAGAATGACAACCTTACTTCCCTGATTATCTGTTACATTTTTTTATGTATCATTGGAATTTTTTTTTCATGTTATCAGTATTGTTCTTATTGTAGTATCTGTTATTTTTGCCCACTGTTATCATAAATTTTCTCACTGTTATCAAGTAATTCATGATATTACATGTATTTGATGGTTGTGAACTCTCATCCCTCACAACAACATCACATCCCAGGCTGCACACTTATCTGCTTCAAGTGCCAATCTCACTTGCCACAGCTCCCAATGATCCTCCACCTTCTTGGTTTATTTTTCTTTATTGCTAGTCGGGTGGGACTAAGTCCTGTGTACTGCGGCCACTTCTGGCCTATTGTACCAGCCCAAGATGATAGGTGAAGGTGATTGTGGAGCAATTGGTGGAATTAAGATTGACAAGGGAAACCAAAGTATTCAGAGAACACCTGCCCCAGCACCACTTTGTCCACCACAAATCCCACTTGACCAGACCCGGGATCGAACCCGGGCCACTGCGGTGGGAAACCAGCGACTAACTGCTTGAGCTATGGCATGGCCTTCTTGGTCTACTAACAACATCAATATCATAGATCCCCATATCATGAGTTTTGATCCTGAAGATGTTAAATAAAATATGATCTGAAAGAATGGCTGGGCTTCAAATAGACATCGTGAATCATAAGCCTGTTAACCAATTGCTGGTAAGTAAATGTGGTCAACATATACTACAGAGGAACTCCAATTTAATGTTCTTTCATTTAAGGTTTTCTGTGATTTGACTTTATATTTCACTGATCCAAACTTGTTAATTTCTATGTTAAACTGAATCCATTTTAAGATTTTCCTCAGATTAATGCTGAAATCCATTTCTTCTGAAAGAAATCTTATGTGAAAGTTTCGCTGTGATTATAAATTGTATTTTTAATTTTATTTCATAAACTGTCTATGGGTATTTAAAGTGTGATTCAGTATTACAAACGAGATCTTAACAGTGAACACTGGTAAAGGGATTAAATTATAGGGTATTCTTTTTAAACCTTAACCTGCTTAATGCCAATCTCATTTTCTTGTGGTGCAACAAATGAGGTTTTCAATAACTATTACATATAAATATAAATATATAAAGTCCGAAAACCCAATATCTCTGTGTATTACATATTTGTTATAAAGGAAATGCCAATACCAAAATGACAGTTGAAATATTTAGTTTCTAAGCTCAGATTTGGTTTAAGCTGTTAACTGCTCTGAATCACCAGCAGAGTGGAGTTAATTTTAATGCAAATGTAATAATCATTGAAAGAAATAATCATTAAAACCATAATCAAGGAGAATAAATATTTACATCAGTTATGTGATGATTGTTTATCCCACAAATATGAAGAGTGTTGAATGTTTTTATGCACAAAGATCATGAAAGGCAATCTCCTTCCTTTACTATACAAGGAACAAGTGATGGATAACAAGAGATTTATTAGGTAGCCACTGGGAAGTTAAATGAGAAATGGTGATAAGCTCTGTTTCAAACAAAATATTATATTGAAGAGTTAAACCAAAACAAAATTCACTGAATGCCATGCTCAAGTTGATAGCACCCCTGTTTCATTTTCAAAAAGTCCCAATTTGAAATCTTGGCAAAGAGGCTGGATATTCTGACTGGGCTTTTCATGGACTTCCTCAGCCCTTCCAGGCAAATGCCATGATAGTACCTCAAATTAGGCCCACATCTACACTTCCACATCCTTCCCAAATCATTATTCTCTAATTATATCACTTAACATTATATAGTCTGAACTTGACAGCATAATAAAAAAATAAATAATATTAAAATCATCCACAACTTTTGGTGTAACACCACGCCAAATTTCATTAAAATCTGTTTAGTAGTTCCTTAGGTGAAACACACAGACATGTTCATTTAATGCAAACAAATAATTATGAAAACTTATATTAGACATGAAAGAGAGTTTACTTTTACGTGCATACTCTGTTAAAGCGCACATCATTAGCCTATCCTCCTTTGTAAAAACAGATGAAGTAATGTCATGTCTATGTATCAGTGTCTTTATGTTGCACCCTCCTCTAAACAACTTTTTAAGCAATCAGTGGATCTTGATGTAATCTGATATGAACATAATTCCTTTAGGGGCTTTGTACTTCTATCAGTAATACCAACATAGTGACCATGAAAACATCTGTAATAAGAATGAAACTAGTGTCATTTGATGTGGAATACTGAAACATTATCTTTAAAATGTGTACATATAGTTGTGTTGTAAGTTCCTTCCAGAATTCCTTGTTTCCTTTCTTATCCATTGCTTTTATATGTCCTACAGTGAATTAATCACAAAAATCTAAGGAGTTCTCTTGTTTTACTGATCTAAATATTTTTCTCTCTGTCCTTCATATTTATTTTATATACTGAGCTTGTTCAAAGAATTGAATCTTTATGTCACCCTAAATGTTTGTTTTTTGTCTTTTAAAGCAGGAACAGATAGACATGCTGCCTGTTGAAGCTCTTGGTATATAGGCAACAGCAGCAGTGCTTCCAGTTTTAAAAGTACATTGTCATTTCATTTTCCACAACAAGTAATGTTCTCTCATTTACACCGAACATATATTCAAAAACCTACAGGTTCAGATGTTTTAATAAAATATTTTACTTGGGCATAACAGTCATCATCAGGTAGATATTTTACATAACTGCTTTTCCTGCCTATTTAATATTTTGGGGCATATTGAAATTGCACCTTAAAGACTCCCCCCACAAATTTAATCATGCACACATATACTTATTTGGTGAGATCTATGCAGAAGTCTTGAAAACATTCAGCTACAAATAAACTATATTCCACCAGGATGTACAGTTGTTTTCACACAATATTTGAGAGTATTGTAAGATTCTAAGTAATATTATGGAAGCAGTAATCAAGGGAAATATTCAAGGTGATGGAACAATACTGTGTAGTAAATTAAAATGTTATATATATATATATATATAAATTGAACATTATGTTGTTGAAGATAAGAAATGGCCCTACAAATTAATATTGTATATTTAACTGAGGATGACTCCTGACTGGGAGCTTTCCTTGTTGACTGTATCATTTCTACTGCCTGAGTCACTATCACAACTACAACTACCATGATGGGACTCATTTCTACAATTCCCATTTTAACATCAAATAATTTTAGGTCCTGTCATCATTTTGTGTGTGTGCATGTGTGGATAACATACATAAAAAAAGGCATACATCACTTTACTAATGTCAGGCTGAGATATGATTGTATGATCACTACTGAGGTTATCAAACCAAATACCCTGAATTATGCTTAGGAGATACGTGGTGATAGAAACTTGAAACAGACCATGAAATATTACAGAGCTCATCACTCATGAAAACACCCTCACATCTCATTCAAATTACACAGCCTCTGCAACTGATACAGCGTCATTAAATCATATATGAACCGAACCCAGACATGATGATATGATTTTTAAATGTTATCCCTACAGTGGTGTTAATTAATATGAACATTATAAACCATAAAATTCCTTAACGTCATGGTTCAACATTATATCCTTATAATCTCTCCTAAATAACCTTTCTTCGGTTATCATTGATTTAATTTGTTAAAATACCTTTTTTTGCAGGTGGTCACAAATGTTTTGGAGAAACATGCTGCCTCCATATTCTTGATGTAACTGACATTCACCTATTTATATCATAATGCACAAGACCACAAAATAGACAGCAAATCTGGAATTTTGAAGTCCTGCTTCTGTTTCTTCTAAGTTTTTAAATTCTATGCATTGCACAATAGCTTAGTATAGGCAATCTTAAAACTCTTGTCTTTTGAGTTCAGTCTTGAGGATCCTCCCTTTACAGTATACCGTCAAGCAGAAGACATTGTAATGGTTCTGAACATGTCTGAATAGTTAGCAAGTGCGAGGTTTCCAACTTCAAAGTTGTTCAAGCTCTCAAAAGAAAAATAAGAGCGTAAAGAGTGATAGGACCAACAAATTAAGACATGAACATGTTTTTTGGAACAGTTGTTATGATTTACTTGTGAACAATGTCCTAACAAAAATACATTACACCACATCAGATTATATACTCACAAACAGTGTACCACCTCCATTCTTTCCATACTATAAATGCACCTACAGACAAACACAAACAGTAATATAAAAGGGGGGGAAAAACATTTCTATGTAAAGGCACACTCTTCCCTATTAATATTTATAACCTGTCATTTGTACCATTCTTCACTGATATTAAGTACAACAAAAACATCACTTCTCACACAAAACTAACTGTAACTAATCCATAAACTCAGTGGAACTAGTAAGCCAATGAAATTCCCTAAAAATTACTTACATAAGAGTGTGATGAAATAATAATTGTCCTCAATTAATAACTTTATATACACTTAATTCTGTAGTTTGTTTAGTCTTCAACATAAATTAAGTACTAAACATGACTCATAAAATTCATGTTTAAAAAAGTCAGAATTATTTTATAATCTGTATAAAATTAGCAAATGAAACTTAATTCTGTTGAATTCTCTTATTGCAACATTTATGCTTTCCAGCCAACAGTAAAATATATTGAAATGTTTAAAGGAACAACAATTTTGCCTTCAGGAAGACAAAACAAAATAACTTAGCCACTAACATAATAGGGATCCAGATGCCGATCATAATTTTATAGATCTTCCAGGGCTACAGGAAATATCACTTATGTTACTGATGTACACAACCAGGAAATCTACAAAGTTACCACACAAACTGAAAGTGATAGCAATGCATAGCATATTCATGATATGAGAAACAGTCGTTAATATCCCAGAATTTGAATTATTTAGATATCAAATACCCACTGCACAGCTGTCACACACAATGCATGAAGTTCTGAATATCATACACCCAATAGCAATTGCCATGCTTCTGGATCCCTTATTAGAAGGTGTCAATATTAGAATACTGATAAACTTGTCAGACTGAAATATAAAAATACAATTAGCATAGTAAATAAATAACTACCATTATTTGTAACTACCTCAAGAACCCTTAGATCCTCTGCTATGCTCATACACATCAGTTCAACCACAAGAACTATCAAGAAAATTACCATTATTATTCTTAACTAATTAAAGGAGCATTATATTCCAGCCCTCAGTAATTTCAGCATCTTCGAACTTAATTTCAGTTTGTGTCCACTTTTGTCCATTAACTAAAGTAAATCAGATTATGAAACTATAATGAGCCAAATCTATTACTATCTTACTATAACACAGTGTTTCTTAATTGTTCTTGAGCATGCTGTATAATGATAGATCTGTAACAGTATTCCATAGGTCCATAACAACACAAGTATCAGTGAGCAATAATCATTTTAGTAAAGAAAATATCACTTACTTACAATTATCATTTACTTGATAAGGCACACAGTCAGGAATGTACTTTCATTCCATATAAATACGACCCTTTATCACAGCAGTTGAAAATAAACCATTTGCATAGTTGGAGTTGCATACCTGTATGATACAAAATTTATCTACCAACTCAATACTAAAAACAAATAAGTACATATATTCAATTTGGATTTTGACTTATATAACGAAAGTTTTATTAGACTAGGGAACAAACATTTTTTCCTTTCATTTGTCTTAATATAGTGCTCATTATTAATGAATGCAATTACTGATATGCATGTACTTTACATACATACATACATGCTGTAATGGAAATAGCTAATTTAAATTTTCCACTGCCATAACCAGTTCAATGACATCACTTGATAGATACTGTAAGGCTACTGAAGCCAATTAGTAACTCACTATTTATCGAAGATCAAGACACCTTAACAATTCACAGCATTAAGATAATCTAGCCTGGTGACTGGAAACATCTGTATGTGTATATAAACTCCAGATGGCACAAAAATTTATATTTATTTTTTATCCAACCAACCATATAGTCTAAAAATTTATTTAAATATTTTAAAAATTAAGAATATTATATGAATTTTTCTCCAATTTCGGTGTGGTTAAGAAGTCTCCCCCACAATCCCTGTGTACTTCATGAACGTAGTTATTGCCTAAGATAAGGGAAAGAATGTCCAACATACTGTGAGATTCAATTCTGAAATACCTGTTATCTGTGAGTGAAAGAAATGTACTTTACCATTATTATGCTGACATACCGCACATGGTTCTCTCTTCAACAATAGGAAAACCTGAAGGCTGCCAGATGTAGTAGATATACTACCACAGTCAATAAGTTCATGGAATGGCCGCAAAACGTTGCATGGGAATTTACTGTCAATATGTTTCAGCAATGTTTCGACAGCTATATCAACGTTGGCAGACTTGCCTAGCGGCCAACGGCAACTATTTTGAGGGCCAATGGGGATCTATGTTAAGTGTATGTGAATACCTTGTAATATGATGCGATTAAAACCACATTCCACGAACTTAATGACTCTACCACGTATTTGTGAATGTAAGTGGGAGACGTAGACCATCGATTATAGACATATTAATGTATGGAGCATATCTGGGAAAATATACATATTTCGAAATAGGTGCACATTCTTATATCACATTGGTTAATGCAAATATATTAATCTGAAAAATACGATTTTATGCATTGGTCAATATTTGAAAAATGTGAATATTATGACTATGAAATTTCTGTGGTTGGGCATATTGGCTACAGCTTCATGTTTGTGACAGCAGTGTACTTTTCAAATAAAAATGGAAGTTTGAAGCATTATGACTGTAAGATTTTATATATAAACTACTGTAACAAACTATTTTAAGAATGTGGGCAGGCAAAAGATAAGCTTGGTGATGAAACTACAGTGAATCAGAGGAAACTGAAATGATTTGACACTGTGTATTGCAGATCAAGAGAAACTTAACTCTTGATCTGATGGTCATGCAAAACCAGCATGATGAAAATTCTTGTACTAGCATTGCACAGATTTAATTGGAAAGTGGCTAAAAACAAACTTCATAAAAATATGCAACTTCACCCGAACAGCTCTTAGAAGACAGCTAGATATATACTGAAGTTCTTCTGGTAATCTTGATAGAATAACAATATAAACCAAGTGAAGTTACTGTCTACATTTGTTTTTGCATGGATTTTCTATAAAAACAAACTTGTCAGAAATGTCTAACTTGTTTTTTTGACTGGCAACATGACACTGTCCATTGTCTAGTTGACCAATAAGCATGAGATACACATTTCTTTTAGTCACAACTTGACCAACTGTAATATTCGGTTGAGTCACCTGGCTCTCAGGTATGGAACAGATGCCGACAGACACTTTTATAATTCTTATTATTCAAGTACACCATCAGTAATGCAATAATGATATAAAAAACATCTAATATATATATTTTTTCACTAAAAGTGTAACTTTAAAACTTTAAAATATTATTAAATACCATAAAATGTCATTAAGACACTGTAAGGATATCTTATATTCTAAGAGTGACTATCAAAATACTTCAAAATGTATTTTTGTTCTACATTTTTTTCTTCCAATTTTGCAACATTTTTCACCTGCATATGGGCCATCATCAGGCAACTTTTAATTTGTGGGAGACCACTGCACTGTCCACTTGTCTCTCATGCTCCCATGATCATCATTTTGTTGTATATCATATCTAGAATACTGTCATTGTATTCTTTTTTCTGGCCATCATACTGTAATGTATAACTTGTATTAGTATGATTTTTATCATGTTGTCTTTATGTATCAAATGCTGAAGTTTCGTGTACTTACATTTTTGTATGTCTTTTTTCCTGTATATGTGTTTTTGGTGCGGTCTTCATGTATACTAACCCAAGTGTAGTTGTTCCTGCTTATATATCTTTCTCATGGCATATATACTGCTACCTATCACGGTCTCTCCCCACAAATTAAAAGTTGCCGGATGATGGCCCATATATGGCCAAAACATTTTGCAAATTTTGAAAAACATTATGTAAAACAAAAAGACATTTTGATATATTTTTATAGACACTTTTAGTGTATAACATATACTTGCAGTGTATTAATGACATTTTATGATATTTAATAACATTTTAAAGTATTAAAATTACACTTTTGGTGGAAAAATAAATATTTAGGTGTCTTTTATATCACTGTTGCATTATCAATGGTGTACTTGTATTATAAGAATGATACCAGAATGCAACAGAATGCTGAAATATAACATAATAGGCACTTTTTTTAAATTACACCATGATAGCAATTATTTTAGAACTGTCACTATACACTCCATTTTCCTTACATTTTTCAGCACTTTTGATGTGCCACATTTTTTTCAGTGTGATGAGGGCATGGGTTTTGTATCATTAGTGCTGAAGAACTAATAATAATGCGGATTAATGTGAAAGTATTTCATTGCTTAGCCAAATTAACCAGGATGTAGAAAACATGCTATGCACATGGATCCAGACAATATTTTTCAATAATTGGTCATGAGGACTGAGGTTTGTACAGTTCATGAAGGACTATACCTATCATGTGGGGACACAACAAACTAAATATGACACTATGTTTGGAACTGAAACAAAGTTTAGGGCTGAAAAATTTGCATATTCAAAGAAAACCGGAGTGCAACAGGATGCTTAAATAAAATATTGAAAGAGTTATAATTTATCCTGAGTGTGAAGTAAGAACTCAAACAAAATGGCGGTGATGAAGTAAATTTCCATGTCTTTCAGAAGAAATATGAGAATACCCACTTCTGCATAGAATGCAATGATCATGTGCATGGATCTGTGGTAGATGCTGGATCACTTCTGTGTAACCTGTACGTAAACAAGAAGAACAATCAATTTGGGAAAGCAAGCAAAAGTGAGGCTGATACCAGAATCCAAATATATCCTACCACAGTTGTCAGTATTACAGTAAGGCTATATGTCAATCAGTCCATCAGTGAAGGGGGATGGAATATGAGGGACATTCTGGCTGTTATAATGTTATACAAAGATGGCAGTACTGTCAGTTCAGTTCAAAACAGGAAAGATGGAAACAGTTCAATGCTGCTGTCACTGTCAGGTGGGTAGGGTTATCAGCAGCACAAATGGAAGCTGAAGGTCTTTTACAAATATACTCAAGTACAAAAATCAAAACACTGTCCAGCTTACAATGTCATGACAGTCACACAGAGACAAACATTCCACAGAAGAATATGAAGTACAAATTTTCTTACTAATAGTCTCATGTATGATTTAATACTTGAGTGTTACATAAAGTGAAGAATAGATATAAAACTGTTGTTACTGCAGGTGCTAACACTCATTTTGTTCCTTAGTTTACGTACATTGACTTAAAAGGGAATATTCTCTCAGCTGTAAGTGTGGGATGTATCTAATATTTTGAATAGCATAAAATCATGTAATGCACATTTGCCAGGAACACAACCTTCAAGGTACACAGAAACTAGTATTTGTAATGGTTCTACAAACTTTTAGAACGGGAGGGGCAAATTATTCCTACACTATGACCAACCATGAATCTACTGTTCATATTATAAAGATGTCTTCATTTTCTTCAACCAACACATATATACCAGCAAATGCATATACTCTGATGTATAATTATATGCATTTTTCCAATTGTTTTGGTAAGTGTGTGCATTTGCTAGTGTGTGTGCAAGTACCATGGATATCCACATTGATAGCAACAGATACAGACATTGACCATGTAAGATAACGTAAATGTTTCTTGTCGAATTTTGCATTCAGAGTTTAAGATCAGCAACACAGAAAAAAATGATGCAGTCTAACTATATAACGTGATCAAGTCTGATTGGTGAATACAGAATTCATTGATTAGTTAAGAATCATAAATTATATTAGCTGTGACAGTCCTAGAATATTTTAAACTAAATTTAGTTATTAAATTTATGAAACGAAAATTCTGTGACACCTTGATGTACTCTCATAGTCATATAATGAAAATGGTATATAAATAACTTCTTGTTACACAGATGTCTGTTGCGAAAATGACAGAAATGACATGGACATGAGAGGAACATGTACACAATAAGGATGTTTAAAATTGATGTTTAATATATAAGTCCAAAATATGTTACCGATAAGAAACCTTTACAATATTGCACTTTGATCAGAGATCACTGTTTGGCCTTAGTCTAGATCCATATCTAAACTGGTTTTCCTTAAGTATCCTGTGATACACAATAGTCTCAAAACTCCGTTGAGCAATTTAAGACAGCGTCCATACAAAGTAACCCAAAATGATAGCACCATATACAATAAATCATTTCTAACTGTTTACATAAGCAAGTATTTACTACTGAGTCAGTTAAGACCGCCAGAATGGGAAGAGAATAAACCGACAAAAAGGTGGCAAAAATTTGTCTTCACAAAAATGTTTTATCATAAATTTAATCCTTGCTTTAAATTCTATGAACTAACAAGATCAATGTCTTGAACTTAAAACATGGTTGTGGTCTATCTCTTCAGTTGTATCTGCAGACTGCAACTTCTACAGTTAACTGAAATCCATCCAGTTCAATTACATCAGCACTTCAATTGTGTCACACTATACTTTATATATTCAAGTCACTTCTTCAGTGTAACAATCATCATTCATTTCCAGTAAAGAAGTCACTCAGAAGTGCAGTGAAGATGAAGTGCTCTTCTTTCAAATGCTACAAGTTGTGGTCTTCAAGTACTGGGGTATTTTTAAATAAAACACAAACAGTCATAATACAAATCATGTATGTTTCCCGAAGACGCCATTGGAATGACATGATTTGGTTGGCATCAATGTAGACTTACGGGAACATGATTTGTCACTTAAAGGTAGAATAAAATTTAAACATTGATGAGGCAAGTATTCAGGAACTGTTCACAGTGGCAGTCAGTACTAGTGAGATCAAACACAACTGTGAACACAGGAAAAATTAAGGAAATGTTTACTGCCAAATTTCAGTTTCCAGTGCTGTTTGGTCTACCAGTGGTAGTGTTAAGTACTGAAGGTGGTGTTTGAGCTGGTGAAACAATGGCAGCCAAAGAGTTGGGTGCACTATGGCAGTGAACACAATGCATGCAAATGGCACAGTGGCCAAGCCTTCGAGACAGCGTTGCCCTCAGTTTCAGCGCGGGTCCTAACTTCATGCCCAAAGTTGTTGTGAGGTGGTCCTCCGTCAGAAGTGGCAATGAAGAGCCATCGATGCGTTGTTCACGGAAATTCTGCAACAGACAAGATGTGATTCTGTGAGTGCAATGACTTTATAACCTAGGCTACTTTCAATTAAATGGTCAAGTCATGGGGAAAAACATACACATATATTCTCTTAATTATGTGAAGAATTATGGTATCTTCACTGATTCCTTGGTTATCAATGATACTCTTACGACTGCAGTGGTTATAACATGGATGAGATGAGCACATGATTGTGAAAGCTGGGTAGGTAGGAATTTGGAATGAGGTGGCTATGAACAGTTTCTCAAGAAGCTATCCTGGAATTTACTTGCAGAGACTGAGGAAAATTACAAAAGCCTCAATCAAGATGTATATGCCCGAATACAAAAAGTATAGAGTTACTGTTACACCAACCTGCTTGGTTGCAGTCAAAGACAGTTTATGGTGATGGTTTGTTTACAGGCTCATTTGCAAATATCTAAGACATTTATTACATACATTACAAATATGGAGGCTGCAGAAGCTTTTACATTGAACACAACTTTCAAGCACTGGAAATAAGAACTTGTGGAAATTTTGCACAAAGATGGAATTGTGACTGATGTCCCAATATTGAGGAAAGCATTTACAGAAACATAAACGTCATATTTCATTTTAAGGAACAGTTATATTATCTACTTAATCACTTCAAATATGGGACCCAGAGCTTACCAATTATGAGTGAATTAATATTTTAAGTAAAATTCTGTGTTTTTAACTTCTCATTTCAGTCCCTAAATGTGGCATATTTGTCAAACCTTCTACTGTATCGCTGTTTGGAGAAAATAAACGCCAAACATACTAAAGTCCAACTTTATAGAAGTGCAATCAAGATCAAGCATTTATTAGAGCACTCGTGATTGGGCTGGCACATTTTAGGTACTCTTACTACTTGTATTTGTATTTTTAAAATACCACCATATACATTAGACTATTAATATCACTATATAACTTCTTTGCTTTGTTTCAATCTCAACACAGCTACATTAGTAATAGTTATTACATTGTAATATATTTCACAAGTATAAGAGTAGTGTTATCCCCTTAGGAGGCCGTGGAGGCCCATAGGGTTGTGACATGTTGAGGCTCCCACATTTTCTCTAAACAATTGGCTCAGTGACGGCGGTAAGGTTGCCAGCCTTATGCGCCGGCCGCCCTTTACCCCCCCCCCCC